AAATATCTTTCCGTGTAGATTTAAGTTCTGCATAAGAGAGTGAGATGGAACGAAGCGGAGAGGTACGGAAACTGCTGAGCCAACGAAGCCTTTAAAGTTGGCAAAAAGCCTGCGGATGGAGCCGCACACACATGTGTCTACACATATAGATGGACGTGGATACGGATGTGGGTGGTAAATACAGGAGGAGGTTCCAAGGGAAAAAGGAAGAGGCGGAGATGGAGATGGAGTTGCCCTGGCATTGTCTGTTGGCAATGAAAATACGACAATAATGACGTCGAGGGAACTTTCCGCCGTAGAGTCATGCGCCGTTCGATAGGCGCCCATAGAATGTGTGGGTGTGTGGACTGCTGCAATGCACCAGATACAGTGGTTAGATATGCAAATTTTCCAGTGTCTGGGGTTTGGTTTAAATACCTATACGTATTTATTAAATGGTTAAAATTAAATTAAATTTTTAGAAATTTTAGAAGAAGTTTTTTTAATGTAAACTATGAAAATTCTTTTTAACAAATCCCGAGACATGTGTCATAACTTGCAGCAACCACTGTACTCGTTACCCCCTTTTGCATATGTTTATTTAAGTTTCAGTGTGCGTGTCGTTTTGGCAAAGATTTCATTAATAGCTTTTGCGGTTGTGAGGGCGGAGGACCAAGTGGAAAACGAGTAAGCAATGCATACTTGATTTGATATTCAACAAAAGGTGAGTGTAGTTCCCGTTCCCCTCCCGATTCCCTCGACTCCCTTCTGGAGCCGCTCCTTTTCCCTGGGTTTCATCCATTTCTCCAACATTTCTCTTTCTGCCCACACATCGTTATGCGCTTTAATTTGCAAATGGTTTTGCAGATTTGGTTGCGGTTACAAATTTTGTGGGGGAGTCTGCCGCCACAGTGGTCACCCGTTGTGATGGAACTACCCAGCGTGTCCGTAACAAAAGCTTTGAAAGAACAAAAAGTGTCTGAATGTGGCGCTGTTTTTAATGTTTCCTCAATTTGACTGCCCCCCAAAAAAAAAGGTCGTTAATTGCTCAGTTTCCCCAGCCCCTCGAAGGTCTTTTATGGTCCCTACATGTAAAACACATAAACTACACATTAAGAAAAAGAAAATACTAGTCTTTAATTCTGAATAATAGATAAAAATTGTATACCAAATATTTTTAAAATTATGAAATTTTACATCATATTATATATCATTATAATAATGTTTTAAAAGCTTTTTTTCTGATCCCCAAACAACTTAATTTTTTTTCTCTGCATACCGTATGCATATAACCATCGAGATCCAAGTCGCACCATTTCATTTCATGCTCGGCTGCCCCCGTCTACGTTTGTCTTTTGTTTATTTATCAACGCCCAGCGAAAAGTGAAACCTAACCTCACACAAAGTATGCTGAAATATATAAACAGAAATCGGACAGAACCTATTCCAATACGCTAAGCTGCCGTCTTCCATCGACAGAAACAAACAACAAACGTCATCGATACTGATGGTGTAATGGGGTTCCGCGTTATTAAAAATTTTACAGTGCAGAAATTTATGCTTCAAGTCTAGACGACAGTTTTTGGAACGTGCTCAATTAGCACAGAGCCGTTGGGGGGTTAGGAAAAACGTTCGGGGGGTTGAGGAAAAACTAACGAGAAAAACAAAAACAGAATTTAAATGAAATTTTCGCTATGCCGATGCCGCCTCACGACTATAATTCAATCATATTTACTACTGAATACAGACCGCTGCGGGTCTCAAAGATAAACTATGCACCGATATGGAATATCTCTACCTCTCTTTCACCCTTTTTAAATCTTCCGGTCTCTAGCTATCTCACTTTACTATGACTGTATAGTTACAACAACAAAAGTCGTGCGAAAGTTGTTAATTTTCGTTTTAGTTTTGTTTTTCACACCATATCACCGCACTCGGAATGGCAGGGGGATTTGCATATTGTCTGACGATCTGAACAACAAATATGAAGCAAGTGTTTCGGGTGTCGACTGGGGGAATACCTCAAGTTCTGATACTATAGTTCTGGGAATATGAAACTTGTCCGAAATGTGTATTATAACTTAATAAAGAAGAACCAATAAGAAAAATTCGGTTATGGCTATTAACCCATCCAAGATAGTATAGTGATTAGTATCATATCGTATTATAAACACGATATGAGGGCTGAAAAACTTGTTTTATGGTTCTTATAGAATAAAAACATTAAATTTATCCACCCTATTAAATCTAAAATAATATTTTAAGAGCCACTATCCCCCCGTATACCCAGTATTTACCCGTTACATTTTAGATCGCCCACTAGTCACACCCTTTAGACCCCCGTTGCTTTCGGTATGCAAATTCAAGACGCTGACTTTGTTGCTACTTTGTTTTTATGGCTTGTAGTTGCAATTTGTTGTAGTTTTTCTATTCTCGGCGTGCCTTTCGCAATTTATTTGCAGTTGTGCGCTCTGATATTTTGTCGAATGTTCGGGAAAGTATTGCGCCATTATTTTGGAGATGGGGTGAAAAATACAAATAATAAGTGGGTGGGATGCTAGCGCCCACGTGAGAGTTTTGGGCCTACGAATCGGAAAATTATTTGCAGACAGCGATAGAAAGAGAGAGAGAGAACGAGAGAGGTGAACAGGAAGAGCTTTTCTGCAAAAAAGTTGGGAAACTGGAAAAGGCACGAAAACAAACAGACTTCCGCCTCATCCACCCACCGAAAATGAATACATAAAATGTGTCTTAACCTTGACATTGGACGCCAAATACAAAAAATACAAATATGCCGGCAGACAAAACAAGTTAAAAGAGCGTAAGCAAGAGAGAGGGAGAGCCAAACACATTCATTCATTAAACAGAGACGGCAAATTTAAAGGGAAAGGCAAGAACTTTTTTTTCGACTTTCTTATTTTTTTTTCCTGTGCTCACCTTTTGAATCAGCAAAGTTTGTTTATCGTCGGCAACAACAACAATAACAATCAAAAGTACTGAGCAAAAATTAAATAAAATAAAAATGGGCCGCGTGTGGCGCTAAAAATAAACGCCAGTAAATACAAACAAAACAAGAAATGAAAAATGGAAATAAAAAGTAAAAAAAAAAACGAAAGGCGATAAACAATTTTATGGACGTTTATTTTTGAATTAAACGCGAATCATCACAAAAAAAGTGCTGATAAGCGAAAATGGAAAAGAATGCAGGAGGAATAAATGCAGGCATAGAAGGAATAAAGGGAAAAATAGAATTCAAAAATATTAAAAACCAAGGGGGAATTATCAAAAATGAAATTTATATACCCTTACAACAACGTAACGTAAAGAATAAAACTTCAAAGATATTTTGACATTTTCGAAAGATATATAAAATACATAGAAAGATACCTTGATTCGAAAAAGGACCTTAAAAAATGTTTAAATATCTTTAAAAAATATTGCTACCCTCTGAAAGAGTATTAAAAACACACCAAATAAAACCAAGCAAATATCGTGGCCTTGAAAAGTGGGCAAAAACAGAAAACGAAGAGAAAGATAGAGAGCGAAACCCAGAAGAATGAATGGAATTATGCCATAGAAGGCAAAACAAAGTTCTCAGCTTAGAAAGAGAGGGCCATCTAGCGAGTGAAAGAGAAAGGCAGAGGGCGAGGGGTTGAGATTCTAAAAAACCTGAAGATCGCGTTCAAAACAACAATAACAAAATATAACAAAGAGCGATCCAATTTTTTTTCGTGTTTTTCTCTTTCTGTTTCTCTTGGCTCTTTCGTTAGATTTTTGTTTTTTGATCGCTTTGAAATAAATAATATTTTTCTTGTTACTGTTGGAAACGGAAATATTAAAATTGGGCATAAAATAAATAAAAGAACACATGTGGAAAACATACCATACGATAAATGTCTGTTGCTATATGGCAGCAAATAAATTTCAATAATTTTTTATTTCTTATGATTTATGTATAAAAAGAATGCTGAGCAAAAGAAAAAGAGAATTACAGAATAAAAAGAAGCCTTGACCCAAAGCAACAAACAAAAAAAAGATAAATAAAGGCGAAAAAAGACTTTGATAAAAGTGAAACTCGTGCGAGATCGACAAAAAGAGAGGGGAATATAATGCAAATTTTATCTCCAGAACAAAAAAATCGTAAACTTCCTTAAAGAGAAATTATTCGCAAATTTTGCAGATAAACAAGAGCATTTTATTTAATATTTCTGCAAATATTGTCTGTATTTTGCAGCTGTTCGGCATCAAGGTTATATAATGTAAGGCTATGGAACCGGCAAACGATCGAAAAACGGGCAAACAAACGCGTCAATTGTTGATAACACTGTGCAACACGATAAAGGAACTAAGAATATCAATCTGATATCGAGAATTGGAATTTTTGTTGATAAAATTTCGTGGCAAAATAATTTTTCAGCAAAGAAATAGCTAAAGGAAATGGAGAAGTAAGCGACGTTCTTCTATGGGTAAAAATTTAATATTACACTTACAAAAAACATAGGCCATTTAAATGTTCTTGAACTTTATTTACATAACCCTTCTATTGAATTATAAATGCCTAAACTTTCATGAACTAAAATGGAAATGGCAGCTGCAGAACTAATTTAAACAACTTTTTGCCCCTTGGCTGGCCTTGTCGTTAAGTGTAATTGATAAAAGTTTTGTGAATAAATATTGAAATTGCTGATGTGCCCCAAACCACATGTTGGGAAATTTCGCCATACACTTATTTTAACCTTCCTCGGGTTTTGCTTTGTTAAACAAAATTTAGCTAACGTTCTGAGTTTAAAGAATACAAATTATTATTATTTCGCTGAATAAAAATTCTTGGTTGTGACAAAAAATAATTTAAATGAATTTCATTATTTTAATACCAATTTTTAGAAAACGTCTGAATAAAATAGTCGGTGAAACGCCTGAAGAATTCGCGTTTTCCGCTTACAACTATTTTTTATATATTCCTTCTATCTAATTTCCTTCTATTTTTACAACCTATCTTGGTTAAATATTTTTCAACTTACCGCACTCGCTCGGAATAAAGTTCGACCTCCTTGTTCTTCTGCTGCTGCACAAGTTGCTGCTGCTCATAACTAGCCAGCGGTTTAAAGTTGCTAATATTGGCCAGGGCAGGCAAATTGCTCTGTTGCTGCTGGGGAGCCATTAGGAGGTTCTTGGACAAACCCAAGCCATTCTGCAGAAGATTGCTGCCAAAGGCGGGACCCAGCGGCTGCATCAGCAGCGATTGTTGCTGCTGCTGTTGCAGCAATTGTTGCACCGGCGACACGGATATCTCGCCGCTGGATTGCGAGGCCGATGGCGAGGTGGAACCACTGCCAGCTCCACTGGAGGACAAGCTGCCCGCTCTGGCCCTCAAATCCAAGCCGAGGACATTGTTCGGATTCAGGATATTGCTCAAAGTGGCCACCACACTGGGTTGCAGCAGATCAGAGGATCCATTGTTACCGGCATTAGTATTATTACCATTATTGTGGGGCAAACCCGACCCTATAACACCCACATTTGGATTGGGCGTCAGTCCGCCGTAGCTGTTGCCATTATTCTGGCTCAAGGGCGCCTTGGAGTTGCCGTTGCCATTGCGATTCCGCTTCTTCTTGGCCTTCTTCTTGTCATCGTCCTCGCTGAGATTTCCATTCAGATTGGAGCCGCGATTTCCCGAGCCATTGAGGTAAATAACACCCTGATTGGTGGGGGCCACCCACTCGAGATCCTTGCGCAGTTGTCCCCTTCCGCACTTGCAACTGCAGGCCTTGTGGACCAGTTCGTAGCCCTTTTTGGTCCACAAATGCTGCAGACGCTGCCTTTCCGACCAGGATCGAGCTCTTCCATTGGCCTTGAGGGTCTGCAAAACGCCCGACTCCCACAACTCGAAGCATTCACGGTGCATATACTGACCGGCAGTGCAGTTTTCATTGTTGCACAGTACCCGTATGCAGTCGGCCAGCGAAAGTTCATTTAGGTGGATCAAAGAGTCCATTTTCCGGCAATCTCCGCTGGGCAAACAGCAGCGAACCACGCCCCCGCCGACGCCGCCGCCTCCGTTTCCCTGCATGGGCGCCATTAGAACGCCTGAAGAATTCGCGTTCTCTGCGTAAAACTGCAGCAGTTGCTGCTGCTGCGTCTGGTGTTGCTGTTGCAACTGTTGCTGGTGTTGCTGCTGCTGCTGCTGGGTGTTGTTGCCGCTGCTGCTAATGTTGCTGTTGCGACGCGGAGCCATAAATTTATATTTTTTTCGTAGCTCTCCTAGTTATGCACTTCTTTGTGGTTAAAATATATAGCCTGCTTTCTATCCTCGAAAAATCCTCAATCTCTATTTCGGATCAGCATTTTGCCCACAATTATATATATTTGAAAATATTGCTTGTTTTGTTTTTTTATTCGGGAATTATGCTGTGATTTGCGGTCTATAAATGCCTGCTGTTTTGTATTTATTGAATGCTTCCAGTGTTTTATTTTTGAAACGATTTCAGAATTATTTTTGGGTATTTCCAGTGAGTTTGCGAACTTATCTGAGGATGTTCGAAATTATTTTTGGGGATTTCAGCGGACTTTTTGTAAATTTTGTATAAAAAATTGGCGATTAGCAGACAAAAGTCTGTATTATTTCGGAGTTTTAGTATTATTCGGTTAAGAATTTATTTTTTGGAATTTATTTGTAGTTTTTATATAGTAAATGCTTATTTTTTGCTTGTTTTAGTCAGGGAAACTTTTTAGATTGTTTTTTAAATTGCTTGATTTTCCGAGTGGGCTTTTTCAAGATGGTTTTATTTTTTAACTTGGTAATTGCTTGTTTTTTTATTGCTTTTAAAATCGTACACCTCTTTTCTGTGTGTATCAAAAATATTTCGAAAAATTCCCGTTTATGCAGTCTGTTTTTTTTTTCTTGATTTTTGTTGTTGTACCTGAGCTGATTTTATTGTTGTTGTATAGAACGTTAAGTATCAAAAATTGTTTTTGTTTCTATTGTTTATCTTCGCTCTGTCTCGATCTCTCTCACACGTTCGTTCTCTCGTTCACACACGCGGCGCCATGTTCGGCAATTTTTTCACATTTTGCTTCGCTGCTTTCTGCATTTGTTTTTGTTGCCTCTCCTTTGCCGCTTTTTGTTTTTGCCGGCAAAACAGAAAGGAAGAGGCGAGAAGGAAAAATCGCGAGACTTGGATGTAAAATTTCCGATTGGATTTCTGTTCAGGATTAATTCAAAATTGGAGCTTCCTTTTTTTCGGTTTCAAAAGTTTTTATGTTTCTGTTTTCCGTTTTTCCCATCTACGAACGGCGCACGCAGAGAGAAGACAAAAAACACAACCAACCAGATCGAAAGCGAAATTCGAACTGTTTTTCGTCTGGTTCGTGCGCTTCGTTCGAACATCGCGCGTCGACGTCGGCGGCGGCAGAGGAGCGACTGCTCTGCCGACGTCGCTGCTTTATCATTGGCAGCGAAGTTGGAGTTTCCCTCCACTTTTCCGCACTTCTTCTTCGTTGCTTTTTTTGGGGGTTGGTGGGTGGTGGTTGGCTGGTTTTCACTTTCCACCACCACCGCCAACCGCTCGCTTTTCATTCGGCGGAAAATTCAACAGATTTTGGCGCTAAAAGGGAAAATAGTGGGGGAAAATGGAGGAAAATGGGGGTTGGGAAAATAGAGGGGATGCCTTAATAAAACGTATAATTTTTTTAATAATTCAAAAGGAAAAATTTAATGAAATAAGTCCAAGTTTACTTGAATCCATACACAAAACCCAACTGTCTTATCATTATCATTAATTCGAATTTAATTATCCCGTATTTTCGAAGAATTTGATTAAAAAAACTAATTTGATGATCTTTCTATTAAAACAGTTTTTCATTGGGAAAGGAAACCCTCTGTTTTTCCAACTCCCATTTTCCTCCATTTTCCTCCTGATGGTAATGAAACAAATCAGTCCTTCGTAAAAAGAAAATTGTTTTAAATTAGTTATTTGTTAAAAAGAATCAAAATCAAAGAAACCCATTTTTCAATTAAAAGTAATCTGATACTTTTAAATTGAATAGTTTTTTTTATTGGAATAAAATAAAATATTAATTTTATCTTGTTTCAATTCTACTTTATTTTGTTTTAGCCCTAATAATACAAATGTTTAATTTCCAACCTCTCGATAATTCGCAAAAATTCACTTTCGTTGCGGTTCGATGAGACTCGAAGCTGGTTCGAAGCCGGTCTTTCCCCTCCAACACGTTCGACTGCAATTCCAATACGAACGTCGAACAGGTTCGCTCTGTCCTCCAAGTATGACGGCGAGTGCATTGGTGTTTGTGCAAAAAACCGGCAAAGTAAACAAAATGAAAATAGGGTTGTCGAGTCGCGGGAATTCGCATTCGCAGCGCACTTTTGCTTTCCTTGGCTAATCTCTTAATTCCAGTGGAAGTGGAAATGTTTGCCGTCTCTCTTTGGCGGAACTAGCCCTCTCTGTCGCACTCTACGATTGCGATTGCGATTTTTATTTTATTTATACGATTGTACATAATCCCCAATATGCTGGCACACACATACTCACACTCACAAAAATACAAACACAATGCATGCGAATGCCGGTAATAAAAGAGGCATTAAAAAACACACAAACAACAGCAGAGACAAAATTAGGGAAGAGAAAGAATGTGAAAAGCAGGGAGTTTCGAATTGGAAGTACCCTTTTATTGGGGGATATATTCGAATTTCAATAAAGAATTTAAGGAGTTTTGAAAAAAAAATTGTAAAGAATGTTTTAAAATGGTTAATTTTTGGTTTCGGAATTTTCGAAGCGGACTAAAATTTTGAAAGTTTTAAAATTGTGAATTTTTGGTTTCGGAATTTTTGAATTTTGAAAGTTTCAAAAACTTTTGTATGTATTTTTTTAATGTTTAAAATGGGTACAGAATTTTGGTATGCACATCGATTTTTTTTTAATTTAATTGTAGATTTCAAAAAAGAAATACTTTAAAAATAATTAAAATATCCTTAATTACCATAGGGAAGGGTATTTATGTATTTCACTGCCAAATCTGAATGAAACTTTCAAACGTAGAGCCTTTTTTATCCTCGCCAGCTTTTATGTATTGTCCTCTCCCTCTCTTCGCCTCCTTCCCTCTTTTCTGACTCCCTTTCTTATATAAAAATTCCCGCTGCGCGTGTTGCAAAAAAAAAAGAATGCGAAAAGCGAATGAGAAGAAGCGGTAGAAACGGCAAAACAAGGGCACGTGTGGAATGGAAAGTGAATAAAAAGGGGGAGGAAGAGGGGATTTTTCGGAACCAGATGAGGATTTCTTATAGGACTCTCAGGATCTTGAAACTGGGTTCTATTATTTGAGGAACTGTGGTGCAAAGTCAAGGTCCAATTCCACTTATTTTTCAAGTCAAACTGCGCAGTTTCCATTTTTTCCGTTCATTTTTGACCTGCCAGGAAGAAGGGAATAAAAGAGGGTTCTGATATAATAATTAAGTCAGTCAGGTAGGCAGATCGGCAGCCATTGCGTAATAAGATCGTATATGGGTTGTTTGTTGTTCTAGCTAAAAGGATCGAAGGAACCCGAAGATGGGGAAGAATACGGAGAACAAAGCAGAACTGAACTAGTTTGTTGTTTTTGTTGTCATCGCCGCTTTAGAATTCTCAAGGATTTCGCCTTTGTGTTCCATTCGGCTCTGACCTAATTTTAATGACCAATGCATGACGAAAAAAAAAAATAATAAAAGGAAGAGGAAGACGTATGGCATGTGTTTAAAAGAGGAAGAATGGAGGTGAAAGAGCGAAGAGAGGAGGAGAGAGTCTGGAAGCCTGGGGCAAAAGCTGAGCTCATAATTCTTCGGCGACACGCATCAAGTTTAATTTGCATAATTAATGGCAATGCTGGGTTGCCGAAGGGCAAAAAAAGGGTTGCCAGGTTGTTGTGTGATTTTAAAATAGGGAGTTTCAAGTTCGGGGAAGCATTTTTACAGAGAAATATTTATAAAAATATTAAAAACCATCTGAAAAATACATAGATTTTGTTTTTTATTTTTGAAAACATGTCTTTAGCCTTAACTCACTTTAATGAATAATCTCCAGCTTTAATTGGATCCCATTTCTAATACTGGAGTGATGACTTTGCGTGTTCTTGGCAACTTTTTGCGTGTTTCTTGGCTTCCTGTTTGGCTTTCTAAAACCAGGGTGTGAAAGCGTGTTCTTCGAAGGAACTTTGCGGTGGCGTAAGAGTATCTACAAGATACTCCTTCGGCTGGATAGACAATCCCAATCCCCTACCTCCTTCCAGCATTTAGCCATCCATTTATTCAGGCCTCTCCTTGTTTTATTCTCTTTTTAAAGTCCTGGGGGTGTTTCGGGCAGATGTGTTCGAGACACCCACCCGTACTCCTCCATCTGCAAAGCCCTCCGTTTTCCAGAACAGCATTATTTGTAATTACCCATACTCCCGCATTTATCCAATCGGAAGCAACTTTGAAACCCAAAATAGGGTTTGAAATTCAACTGCCATGGCAACCCAACTCAAAACCCAAACCATTGAAAACACTTGGTACATAACGGTAAACATAATACATACCCGAAAAATATATAGACATAAAAAAGAGACAAATCGGTGGAGAGAGAGTTGTGTTTTCGCAGTCGTCGGAGGGTGTCGTAATTTCGTTTCGTTGCCAAAAATAACCCAAACTCCATTTTGTTTGGCACTTGTCGAGGGATTGGATTGTGATGATGATGGTCCAGAACTCTGGATCTGAATTCCTTTTTAGTCCTTTTTGGAATGGAAGGGATCCCAGATCCCAAATAGCAATGTGGGTCTGATGCACGCCGCGCTGCTTACATAAGCGAAATGAAGTCAGCATTCGGCCTATAGACATACATATTCCCATTTAACAAACGGATGTAATGCACTCGCATCGAGTTGGAAACAAACATGTATATTTCTAAAAAATAACTTTTAAATGTTCACAAACACACACTTTTTTTAGATTTTTAATTTCCCTTTAATCTTAAATTGAAACGAAGTAAAAACGGTAGACAAGCCATAAACTTTTTGTATTATTTTGTATGATTATAGTTAATTTCAAGG